AAAGTCCGTACTATGCAGTGCAGTGCACAAACCGTGTACTGCATGCAAGTGCATCGGGGTGTACCTACTGAACCCTCTCAAATATACCCCCCCCCCCCCCCTCTCAACGTGGCTTCAGAAAAAAATAGAGCCCCGTCGCTCTAGTCTTCTATCCATCTGCTGATGTTTCGGCAGCAAACGCTCCAGAGAGTTAATGCACTAAAGAAATGTATGCCTCCTAAAAGGGGTAAACATTACCTGCGCCAGAGAGTATATTGCCAGGAACATCTTGAAAATTCTTAGGGGTCGTCGTAAAAGTTTTTTTGTCGTCCCTGAAACGAACATAATTCATTTAGGGGGAAGGGGTGCCAGCCAAAATTGCAAGTCGACCGACACTGTACATATGACATGCACGTGCATGCGATTTTCGTCGTCCAGCGTAGTGGGAGAGTGAGTGAGGGAACAAGGGAGAGAGAGAGAGAGAGCTAGGTAAAGTGCCTGGGTAGCTATGGCATACTACTACTACTACTACTACTACTACTACTACTACTACTACTACTACTACTACTACTACTACTACTACTACTACTACTACTACTACTACTACTACTACTACTACTACTACTACTACTACTACTACTACTACTACTACTACTACTACTACTACTACTACTACTACTACTACTACTACTACTACTACTACTACTACTACTACTACTACTACTACTACTACTACTACTACTACTACTACTACTACTACTACTACTACTACTACTACTACTACTACTACTACTACTACTACTACTACTACTACTACTACTACTACTACTACTACTACTACTACTACTACTACTACTACTACTACTACTACTACTACTACTACTACTACTACTACTACTACTACTACTACTACTACTACTACTACTACTACTACTACTACTACTACTACTACTACTACTACTACTACTACTACTACTACTACTACTACTACTACTACTACTACTACTACTACTACTACTACTACTACTACTACTACTACTACTACTACTACTACTACTACTACTACTACTACTACTACTACTACTACTACTACTACTACTACTACTACTACTACTACTACTACTACTACTACTACTACTACTACTACTACTACTACTACTACTGACCAAACCACTTTTACGGGCAAAAAAATACCATGGTAAGCACACAAGTGATGGAAAAGAGTGAGTAAGAACGAAAGAGAGAAAGAAAGAGAGAATGCACTAGTATGTCAAGAGAAGTAATCAATTGTTAAGGTCTTTGAGCTATTGTTATATTGTCCAGATTGACGCATGGACACTGAATCTCAGCCGGCAGCCTGTCCACACTGCACCAACAACGACGAGCGGACGCGACGCTGGTAGGATGATCGGCAACCGCGAAAGCAGGTTATTGCCCACCGTACGAGGCAGAATGCCAGCCGAACACGCAATGCACTGACGATGCTTGAATACCGGATGTCTTTATTGCGCTCCGCGAGCCGACCGGCAAGTGTCGCCAGGAATCGTGAGCACTCCGGCCCCGCCATTCCATTCGTGGCGAACACAAGAGGGGTGAAAGAGCCTCTCTCGACTTCAGTGACCCTGGCATCGTACTGCTGCTTCTTTTGCCGTTCATGGGCCCTGAGTTGGTTAAGGACTTCTGGACCAGACAGCACAGACGCCTTAGGGTGGGTTACCCTAACATCAAAATAAGCGTCTTGCTGCCTTGTCCAGAAGCCCCGGGCACGAATGTCCAGCCGAGCCTCATCAGTCCGGTTAGCCGTCGCATAGGGCAGATCCTCGCCAGACAGCGGCCGGAGACGTGGCTCTGTCTCGACATCGCGAACAGCTTCGGAGAGCGTTTCCGCCAGGATGTCACGCACATTATCGTGCCGAGCAGATGGATACCCGCCGGCGGGGCAGGTTAGCAAATGGTCCATCGTGGAGGCATCACCACAGACACAAGTGGACGGTAGCCCAGGGAGCTGCAGACCATACCGTAGAGCAAGTGCATCACGGAAGTCACTGGCATTCAAGACGGTGCCGTGCGCCAGACGAGGCTCCGCCGTAAGCCAGGAAGACACACCGGCAGAGCCGGCAACGTCCATCAAAAGCTGCTGTGTGGCGGATAGATGATCCTGCAGACCGGCCAAAGATGCTTTGCCAGCCCGACGCCTTGATTGTACAGCAGCCCGCCGTGCGCCTTCCGCCTCCTGGAGCGCCTCCGCCATCTCCCGTAGGCCAGACGAACCACCACCATCCGCCCCGCCATCAGCAGCTGATCCCACACGACCAGTCTCAGGCACGTCCGGGAACCTGTATAGCCCCCGCACTGGCCGAGTCGTCTTAACTGTATCAGTGTACATTACCGTGGCAGTGTCCGCCAACATCGGGATGGCTATGCCGCCACACTTGGAAGGTGCCGACATCAATCTGCGCAAGGCGCTCCCGGAGGCAATTGGCTGACCCAACAGCGGAGGCAAAAGATGATTATCCACTGCACTGTCGAGAGGCGCCATGGTTTCGCCGGAGCAGAGCGAAGCACGCATGAGATATCTCCACTTGGGGACCAGCCCTCTCACTGCGGCTGTATACGCAGCATGTGGCTGGGTCTCCGCAAAATCACCACACCGGCGGACCTGGCGGGAAAAGCGACCGACCTCCGCAGCCAGGTGTTGACTGCAGTACTCAGGTGTCCCGATCGGTGCACCCAGGTACTTGGACCCCTCACCAGTGATTATGACACCCGTGCCATCAAACACGGTATTGGCTTGCTCCAACAGATGGTTCTTGACCACCAGCACAGTCTTTTGAGCATTTGGATTGTAGCCATAGCGTGGTCCGAGAGCTGCGATCGTGTCCCAGTAGCCGCGAAGACGAAGCAGCCTCCCAAGGGCAGCATCATCATCTGCATACCACAACTGGAAGGTGTCTGGTTGCAGATGAGCCAGGCGGCGGACAAGCGGGGTAATGGCCAGGGCGTAAATGGCCATGGCGAGAGGGTCACCCTGACATGTGCCCTCTGTTGAATGTAGTTCGCCAGAGCCGGTCACGAACAAACGCACGCGATCCGTATGGGTATTGCTAGCGAACGTTGCCAGTGCTGGGCAAAGACGCCGAATGTTGTGGAGTGCAGCCTTACGATTGACGGAATTGAACGCATTTGATGCGTCAACTAACAGGATTCCTTCCGTGCTGGGGTTATTGAACCCTTCACGCATAGCGTGGACACAAGTCTCGCAGGCGGATGGGATTCCAACGCATAATTGGGAAGGTGCAACAACGTCCATAACATCGCTCTCCACCACTCGCATGACTGCCCTGGCGATGATGCGGCGATGGACCTCGCCGACCGCAATGGGACGCACACCAGGACGCTTGTCGAGGGCAATCAACCGGGCTGCAGTGAACGCCTCGAGATCCCTCCCGCCGACACTGTCCGTGCATATCCTGCGTGCGGCTTCTGCAAGTACGCTACACAGCTGGTCAGAGGCAGCCGCGTAGCAGGTCAGCATCGCTCGCCATCCATCAGCGTCCACCCCGGATGGACCTGACGAGCCCTTGATCGAGCGAGCAATCTTCTTGATTAAATCAGCGGTGATGGCCGCGAATAGCACGGTACGGACGGGCTCGGGCTCGCCTTCCAGGAGCACATCAGGGTCTGGATCTGCCCCAGCTGGATGTTTCTGCCGCAGGATATCGTCGACCGTTTCCCCCGTGGCCGGATCGGCGATGTCGTCAAGTCTCAAAACACCCGGACTCTTAGATTCCGACAGGCAGCGGATGGCGGAGTTGATGTTGCCGCTGAACACGTGTCGGCTGAAGTCAGTGTCGGTATGACCCCGCTCGGAGCGTGCGCTGGTGACCCGTCGTGGCCGGAGATGAGCCTGGATACACCTGGCGTCAAGGAGTAGGTCCTCCAATTTCCCTGCTTTCCACAACTCGAGCCTGGATCGCAGGATGGTAGCGTTCTCCCCACCTCGAGACGATCCGAGAGGCTTTTGGAGGAGCAAATGGCTACTACTACTACTACTACTACTACTACTACTACTACTACTACTACTACTACTACTACTACTACTACTACTACAGTTGCGCTCGGTGAAATCCGGCCCGAAGTGCATAACTGGCGCCCAGTACTGATGCGGCCCTTGACGCCCTCAAAGTTGTACAAGACTTAGTGCTAGTGTGCACGTGAGCCGCATGAACTGTGCATGTATATGTGCTGTACTCATACGCAAATTTTGAACTGTTTTTAGCATGCAACACGTGCACTCCGAACTTTTACACGAGGTGCGTACAGTTGAGTTCATACCCACAAATCGCCAGTGATGTAATGGGAGCTGGCTTCGCGGCGCCGGCTTTGCACTTCGGGCCGGATTTCACCGAGCGCAACTGTACTACTACTACTACTACTACTACTACTACTACTACTACTACTACTACTACTACTACTACTACTACCGTAAAGTACCGTTGATCCGCCCCCACGCCATGTCGCTTCCCAGCTGGTTTTCGGCAGGGGGAGGGAATTAGATCAAGGCTGTCAAGTGCAGTACGATGTACAACAACGTAGAGGATCAGACTCAATGTGCTGGATTGTGCACATTTTGATCCTGGATTGGCAAGTATTGTGTACAGCAGTGCATGCGTCGGTTCAACATCGTATTTCATTGTATACGCCGAAGTCGCTTCACAAGGAGAAAATCGACAGGGGGCGGGAATTAGAGAGGGGGCGGATCAACGGTACTTTACGGTACTACTAATCAAAATAATATAATTTGAGCCGCTTCATACCAAAAGGGGGCAAAATTTCACAAACTGAGTTATGGATAGAGCGCAACGGCTGAATTCTCACTGCTTCTGTTGCAAAAAAACGCATTCAAAAAGCTTGATAAATCACAACGAAAACTAATAGAATTCAAAAGAAAAAGTGTACTCTCAATATTTCATACTCGACTTTCAAAAGAGTTTTTCTCAGTTTGATGTCGCGTGCCATAAGCACCCTTTTGTCGTGTCGCGGCTCATACATGAGCACGCACGCAGCTACCAACGGAACACCAGGGGACGACGGGAATCTTGCAGGAAAATAATGCACAAGTACGCAATGCACTGGAGCGGGTGCCTAAGATATAAAGTCATAACGAGAAAAAAAAGCTTGTCCATATGCGCCATGGCAGGTATTTATGGATCCATTTTTGAACGCACATGAGAATGAGTTTCGCAGCAACTGTCCACGTCTGTAACAAGATGGTAGACAGTCAGAAAAGGGCAATGATAGGGCACACAGCTGACTGTTACCGTCTTGTTACGGTCGTGGATAGTTGCAGCTTAACTCGTTCTCATCTGTTTTCTTCTCTATTTTACATTTATCACTGGCTCAGTATCCGAGTTAGAAATTTTGAACTGGGTAGCTTATCATCACATTGTTTGGGCTGCTTTTATAAATTGGCTTGGTAGGTGAGCTAATTCGTGTCTAAAATTAGCTAGGTAAACTGCATTGTTTCAGAGAAGGTACCACGGGTTTGTGGGCGCAGAAGAACGGTATATAGAGAGATAATGTGCGTGTCTCCTGTACTGTTTTCTCTTATTGCAGCTGTTTGCGGGTCCGACCAGGAATTGGACTACTCTGCACAGCAGTGTGTTTGCAAGGCGGAGATGAAGGCCATCGGTTACAGCTCGTGTCAAAGTATGTTACGTCCGATGTGTCCCTGCAAAGCGTACAGCACACTTGATTTCGCTGCCCAGCGCCTCAAGCAAACAAACTCGTCTCGCACCTACATGCACACCTGCGCGCGTCCAAACCACTATAACGATTATGATAATAACAGCTTGCATGTACCCCATGGGTGAGATCACCCATGGCGCTAACGCATCTGTCGGTGAAAGAGTTAGCGAAATGAAAACGAGAAGTACATGTACACACCCTCTCCGTTCTATTATTGTGAGAACACCACCACCATGACTACGGGCTCTAAGTAATTCATGAGTGTTCCTTTGCTCAAGGAGAGAGCGTCGGGCATACATATTTTATTTGCATCAACGAAGCATTTATGGTCGTGCACAGCGGACCATCAAAACACTAGATCGACACAAAGTCCTTATTTTTGACATTATCTTCATCTTCTGGTGAATAAGGTGACAGTCACCACCGCTGTCCTGAACACTGTCAACCGAAAAGAACCCTACGCTGCCTAGTCCGTGTCATGCAAGGCCGTCGGGCAGCAGCTGGTCGTACTGAAGAACGGAAGTGGCGCACAGGCCTTGACAATTTTTGCGACAATAGTGTATTGTTGTTATTTACCAACATCTCTGCGCATGAGCTGGCCCGGCAAGAAAGGCCATTGAGATTCGCGAAGCGATTCGGGCATCTGGAGAAAGTCGTCTTCAATCAAACCTTTGCAATTTGTCTCGCACAGGCTGAGAAGGTGGGGGTTCTTGAATGCTACAGTCAATCCTGCAGCGCATCATGAATCAATTTTTGACCTCCTCTTTGCTACAGAAGGAGAAAAGGATGAATTCATAATTGCAACTATAGTATCTCCGTCTCACTAAGAAATAAGCGTTCGAAGAACATAGTCACTGTACTGTAAACAGCTCTTCTGTACGAAGACTGAGTTCAATTTTGACTTGAAGTCACTTGCAGGAGATCGGTGCGACGAAAACATTCGAGTTATTAAAGTTAAACGGAATGTTCAAACTATACCGTATTTGAATTAGAGGGAGTCTACCTGTACATCAACATGGCTCATATTTACAAAGGCCATAGGCTGATAGCATGTGTATCATGCATTTTCTTGAAAGAAATTTGCGGCTCCGGAAGTCTTTCCAGCTCGCACCGACTGTGTTTTATCTATGCTGTTCTTGAAATAGAAGAAACCACATGGGAACGAGTTATGAAGTAACTATCCACGGCTGTAACAAGATACTGTATAGCAGGAAATTTTCGGACGGAAATATTTTCGGACAAAGCCGAATTTCGACCTTTCGTACGGATTATATTTTCGTACAGTGCTGCATGCTAAATGCAAGTGTTCGCAAGCAGCACGCATGTACAGTGCACATTAAGTCACATGAACACATTTTAGTACGGAATTAATTTTAGTACAAAAAGGCGGTGTACGAAATCGTACGAAAATATATTCCGTCCGAAAATTTCCTGCTATACAGTACTAAAAAATCGGAAAGTGCAATAACAGGGCACAAAACTGACATGTTACTGAGACATTGAACGACCTGAGACCTAGCTCTCACACCACAGTACGCAAACTAACAGCCGTGCAGCTTGGAAGGTCCAATTTCCGACTGCTTATTATTTTGTTACAGTAAAGGATAGTCGCTCCATAGCTCGTTCCCATGTAATTTCTTCTATGTTTAGAATTATCTTTATTGGCTCAGTATCCGAGTTCAACATGCTTTTTCTTGTTTTTATGTTTGACCAGGGCTTGTTGTGCATGCCGAAGGCTCCTATTTTGTAGCCTTTCATGGTAAAGGTACCTTATCAAGCTATGCTAAGGCTCAGAAAGTTTGCACTTCCAAGAACGGAACACTCCCAAACTGGTCTGCAAATATTGCTCATAATAATAAACATTTGGTCGACATCGCAACGAATTTGGATCACACGCTCAACGTTGGATACTATCATTTCTTTGGAAAATATAACACACATAATCAACGAGTTTTTTCAGTCATCTTACCTACACCCACTGTACCTGCTTCCTCCGATGATGTCACCAAAGTGACAAACATAAATATCTGTGAATGTAAGTGATGGATAGAATTGCATTGATTGGTTGCATGGGATGTCACGTGTATGTGTATGCCTGTGTGTGTGTGTGTGTGTGTGTGTGTGTGTTCCGTATGGTGCAGTGGTACGTGCAGTCGATTTCCAATCGAGAGGTTGCGGGTTCAATTCCCGACGATTATGGTCGCACACGTCTTTCTTCTCTTTCTCGTTTTCTTTCATTCTCCTGGGTGGTTACCAACAGCCAGTGCATGCCGGAGTATGTGGTGTGGTGTGTGTGTGTAAAAAAAAGAGAAAGAAAGAAAAAAGAAGGAAATATGGAAAAATGAAAAATTAGGGATTCACTGGCCAAAAAAAGTCACTTCAATCAGCTGTGTGGTGGATACCAGGCTAAAAATAGTGGCGGTCAATTCATCAGCCTTGCAAGCTGTTGAATGGTGTAATCCCAGCTCAAGTTGCTATGTCTAACATAGCTGTTCGCTATCATCGCTTCCGCGATGGGCAGGTCTGAGGCGTGTGTGTGGCGGGGAGGGGAGGGGGGGGGGGGGTGCTGTTGTGTTTCCCTGAGTGCGTGGATGCATATCGAAGGATACTGGACATTTTTCCCGGCGTTTTTGGCCAATGTCCGGCCAAAATCTTTTGTCAGGACTTATTGTCGGGCCACTTTTTGGACTGAAAAAAATCGAACCTTTTTTTCCGTGCCAGTCAGTCTGCATGCTGCATGCATGCAGCTCGCAGGCGAGATGTGAGGTGTGAGGCTGTCCATGTACCAGCGGTGACAAAGGTGCGGAGAAGAAATACCAAAGTCGGCTTGAAAGTTCGTTGGCAAATGTGAGTTGAACAGCGGCGCTCTTCTTCCTTTGATTATGTCTTACCAGTAGGGTCAGGCAGTGGCTTGATAGTTTGTCACAATGTCCTCCGGATAAAGAAATCCTGAAAGTAAAAACGGTCCTCCACCGAAGAAAGTAGCATCTGTCAATCCTCACGTCGTGAAGACCCCCAATGGATTGCTGAGAATGACAAATCGTTGAGCACTTCGGTCTGGCTGTCATACGAACGGTGTAAAGATGATCGCAGTTTGGTAGAGACGTTGCAACTATTCAGTCTGTGTGTAGTTCGAAGAGAAAATACAGAGCTGCAAGAACTACACTGGCATCATTGCCGTTGGGTCACGTAACCTCCAAACGTTGGCGTTCCAGGACCCTGCGACGACTGAAATGCCCAGCAGGGCGATGGGGCTGTATCGGAAACAGCAGTGTAAGACCGGTGACGCCATTGGCTATGCTCCCATCGCAAAGTCGCTCTGCGTAACGGACGAAAACGGCTATTGCTCGGGACAAGAGTGCATAGCCAAGAGTGTGCAACTCCTATCTTGACCTGCGATGGGTTCACCGACAACGGAATTTTTTTATTGCGTCATTCTTCGGCAGAAGTATGATGAAGTGTGTATGCTTTCCCGCGCTTGTTTTGTAGACACGGTGAGAGTTCATCACGTTCAAGACACATCGATCTATCGTCCGTTGTTCTGCTTCGACTACCGTAGCTGTAATGTACAAATCATTTGTACTTTGAGACTCTGGCTACGCATGATGGCATCAGTGAGCCAAACAGCCGCCAAACACTGATGTCATAAAAAAATTCCACCGTGGGCTGGGGGATCGTCGAGTTGCACACTCTTGACTCTGTACTCTTGCTCGGGGGAAATTCGGCATAAAATACTGTACACGAAAACTTCGTGACGTTTTTTGTCTTGAATTGTTCAGCTTGATTTGTTATAACACTCGTTGCATTGTCTACCCTTTTAAGTTTTATAAGCTTTAATTATCCAAAGCCACAAAGCAACTCAGACGAATGAGATTGAGCCTATTCAGAATCCTCTTCGCTCGTGTCATTGTCACCTTATGAAGATGACTCCAATGTGGGATGTAACACGACGTGCCACAGAGCTGTTCCTCGTGTTGCAGCTTGTATCTCAATCAACTTCTACTGTAAAGCGATTAACCTTTGCGGAAGGCAAATTTTGCGTTTTCCAGAACTGAGCTGGTTCACGACGAGAAACTTGATTTATTAGAGAGGTTCCGCATAACGTTATTACGTTAGTAAAAAACGTAGTCGATCTACGGAAAGTCTTACGTAAACTGCATGCGCATCTGTGTTCCGCCATACGGAGTTTTCAAATCACGTAGCTGCCCTTGGCAACTCTAAACGGGGCAGTGTACGACCAGATCGACCTGGGGAGAGAGTCATAAATTTGTACCCCAATCCACTTACGGACCAGCTACGTTATCAGAGCCCTATCTACGTACTCTACGTAGAGAACTTTCGTAAGTGGAGTGCAAACTCGCAAATTCACGGGTTTTTCCTGCCCATTAACGTAAAGTTGCTCAACTTTACCGTAGTGTGGAACCTCTCTAATATCTTCATTTAGATCTTGTGTCCACAATTCCATGTGCATTTTGCGGTTTGTTTTTAGCAGAGGTTCTTTGTAAACCAGCCGACCATACCGTACTCCTCTAGAGTGCGCAACTGGGAGGGAGGGGGGAACGTAGTCCGTGATGTACGTCTTTTTTTGGTTGGGGCTTGCGTCATTCCGTCAACGCGGTCCACCACCCAAGCACAATTCCCCATGTTGTCAACTATGACGTGCGACATGGATTTCTCCATCGCAGATCTGATCATGGAAGTTGCACACTCTGGCAGATTATGGACCCTTGCCACAAATGAATACCCAACATCTTCCTTTTTATCAGTAACCTTTCACCAGTAGAGCTCAGAAGGATTGCCTGTAGCGACTACAATTAATGTCTAGGGTACCACAACGTATTTTGATCAGAGCAGATATGATAATACCAATTCAAAGTACATACACGCCTGCCCTCACAAGCCGTCAAGGCTGCAAAGTTATTCTGGAACAGAGCTCTTCTTCTCACCACCACCATCATCAGTTCGCGCCTGGCGCCTATTCGATGCATGGTTGGTGGTATCCGACATAGCAGGCTGGTACACCAGCTAGAGCAGGGCACATAGCAATGCACAGCACACTTCCTCGGTTGTCAGTCTGTAAAAGATGAAAGGAGAAGTGTGAAACGAAATAGGGATGCAATGAATGGTGTTTTCTTTGAGCGAATATTCTCGCGAGTATTGCTTCGACGACCGAACTGATAATTATTCTATAGTTTTTTTTCTGGAGCTCCTCTATGCATTCATCTGAATGGACAGGTGAAATGTTGAATGTGCAGGTGTCCAGATTCCAGGCCGCCATCCCGAGAGTTTCTGTGAAGGCTCGTTCTTTTGATTCTTTTGCATTTACTTGTTTGTGTGTGTGTGTGTGTGTGTGTGAATATGTATGTGTCTGTACACAAGTCATCAAGCGACGGATAGCCGAGAAATTCATTGTCACTCCGAGTTTCGTGCGAAAGCACTCATCAGACAACTTCTTACTCGAAGTAACACCGAATTTCTCGGATATCCGTCGGTTGATGTCGCTTGATGACTTGTGTGTCATTGCTCTGTCTTTTTGACGTTGAACCCTCTCCGCCGTTGTGTGGAACGAGATCTTTCTCTGTATATGTGTGTATGTATGTGTGTGCATGTGTATTCATGTGTCTTCATGTGTCTTCATGTGTATGCCTGCTGGTCAACTCAGTCAAATGCCTGGTAAATGCTCGTTTCAATGAAACAACACTCCAGTGTTATTGTCCCACCGACAGGCCTTACCTCGGCCGCATTCGATGCCTCAGTGAGTTAACTTTGCCTGTAACATTCATTGTCTTAAATTCACAAGGAACTTTTGGTCAGTCTGAAGAAGAAGAGCCTCTTTTGCATGCCAGCTCTTCATTTTTTTCTCATTTTTTTTTCGCTTTGATGCTGTCCCGAAGGAAAATCGACTAAACTGCATGCACCCTTCAGGAGTGTGTTGTTTCACTAAGGCCACACATAATTTGATACCGTGCTTCCCTCCGCAGCCCTTTGCACGGCCTTTTATTCTCGTCCATCAGGTTGTGTCCGACCAATCTAAGTTGACCGCTCGAAGTATCCTCAAATTGCACCGCCGTCCACGACCAGGTGGTCCTTCAATGTTAACCCTTTGCCTGTCTAACTCACTGTATGTGAGGGGTGTTCACGCAGATACACGTACACACAGCCAGCAACAGCTCCAGAACCATGTGTTGGTATGGGTAAATCTGTATGCCTGAACACGTCCGCACAATTCAAATATGGCACGGTCCTAGCAAAGATACGGCCCATGGTGGCCCTTCAAGTTTGTAGAAAGTACAATTTCGGATGAGGTGCAGTCAGACCTCTCTTAGCCGCACACATCCGTTTCCACGAAAACATCGGGATAGGCGAGGGATCCGGAGAACCGAACACCTCAACTATATACGCGTGTGGCACATCAAAATGTGTGAAAATGTGCGTACAATCCGATGCAGTACGACTACCTTCAACACACTGTATACAAACAAGCGACAAAAATCACAAGTGAGTGCAGCTGATTGGCACGCTGTGTGAAGAATAAAATCGAGTGCGTGCCTGTACTAGAACATGTACAGTCGTCCCTCTTTAATCCGGCACTTTATAAATCAGCACAATTTCCCTTAGCCAAAGTGTCCGCTTCATGCACATTGCAACAGTAGATGCGTTTTGTTAATCCAGCACCCTCCCTAATCCAGCACCCTCCCTAATCCAGCACCCTTCCTAATCCAGCAGAATTTCTTTAGAACAAATGGTGCTGGTTATAAAGTGACTACCATACATGAAGCGAACATGGAAGATAACAAAGCACGGAGCGGCAATACATGTCGCGGCCTTCTAGTTTTGAGATCTAAGGTACTTGGAGAAAAGGGTAGCGAAACTTTAGTGTCAGGAGATACACAAAGGTAGTATGGTTAGGTTCTGCGAAAATGCTCAATACCTGATTCAGGCCGAGCTGCGTTCACAAAGGCACACATTAAAACCTTGGGCAAATACCGTTGTGACTCAGAGTTTCATGGCTGAACCAATCATCAGACAACTGGAGATACGTGGATTGTGTAGAGAGAAAAAAGAAGAAGAAAAACTCACGCAGTGAATTTCCGGAATCAGTCTTGGCTTCATCATCATCTTCATCATCATCATTTGAACAGCCTCTTGTACGGGCAAGCAAAAACGCAATACAGGTCGTCCCTCGTAAATACATAATCTCTGGGACTTGACAAATGTTATGTATTAACGGGGTTTATGTACTAAACGAAAGTGTACATAACTTGCTTGGGTACCAGAATTTTTCACTTTTTTCAACTTTTCTGAGTGTTTCTTGCTGCCATGACTAGGGAGCGAGATAAAAAAATAAAAATAACCATCATCATCATCACAAGCCCATAGCCCTAAGGTCGTCGGGGCGTCACAGAGCAAGTATGAACAAGTGATCGCCTTACAAATCGATTGCGTGCAGCAGCGAGCAGGGACTGCACGTCAAGTGCAGTCCAATAATGATATCAAGCCATGACATTCTGGGCCTGCCTTGGCAACGACCTCCAGCAACACAACCCTGAAGAACAGTCAATGACAACGAACAAACAATATGACCGAAAAATTGCAATTTCCTTTGTCTTGGCTTAGTGAGAAGTAAAACGTGGCATTGTTGCATCGGTCAATTTCAGAGTGTGCCAGTGCATGGATAAGTACAGGAAAGACGCAAACACGGTTTGGAATGCTAGAAAATAGCTATGATGCTAGGCGCACACATGTCTAGCATAGTCTTTCCCCTAGCTCACATCACTGGTTACAGTTGTAAGATCCTCTAAGCTGTGCTGGTGAGATGTGCACTGGTGGTTGCCGCTGTGCATGAGATTTTTGGTGATGGTCGGCTTACTGTTTGTTCTCTACTACTACAGAGTGTATGGAGAATGCCTATCTTGATCCTCAAACTCAATCCTGTGTTTGCAACTCGGGGTTTACGCTGATCGGAGATAAATGCAGTAAGTGAAAGTCCACTGCTTGTTACTCGTATCTACTGTTTATATAGACCACTTTACATAGTAGAATGGGGTTAAAGACACCACTGCAGCTGTACTTAGGGTTTATAAATATGGTGGTAAAGACACACCTGGCAATATGTACCAGCCTGCTATGCCAGGCACCGCCAACCATGCGTCGACCAGGCGCCAAGCGCGAACTGATGGTGGTGGTGGCGAGAAGGAGAGCTCTATGCCAGAACTTTGCAGCCTAGAGAGAGAGTGTGGGCAGGCGTGTGTTTACTGCCATATTGCCAGGTGTGTCTTTACCACCATATTTATCAACTTTAAATGGTAGGCCGGAAAACCTGTGAATTTGCGAGTTTACACTCCACTTATGGAAAGGGGTCTGCGGAGAGTACGTACATAGGGCTCTGATAACGCAGCTGGTCCGTAAGTGCAGTAGGTACAAATTTATGACTCTCTCCCCAGGTCCATACGGTCGCACACTGGCGCATTCGGAGTTGCCAAGGGCAGCTACGTGATTTGAAAACTCAAACAATAAGAGGAGGGAAACGTGTTTTTAGGGCCTGGTCAGACTGCAGCAAAATTGAAATAATCCTGGGGTTATAATCCATATCTCCATAGTAACTTGCCGCCAGAGCGGCAAAAGCGAGAGTTGACGCTCCAAAAAAAAAGCAAGAACGGACCACGCTTTTCCGCTCCAAACAGGATTTGACGCTGATACGCCATTGACGCTGATAATCACTGATTTTTTCATCTCGATATCGAGGAGCTAATTGGCCACGGACAACAACAAAATTCATAAGGATGGTTGCAAGGATTGCACTGAAGGTGTTGCCCCTGTTGGCGATCCCCAAGGTGAAGGAATTTGACGTCATTCGTGGAGATTTCCACTTGACGCTCGAAATGAAGGTTGAATTTTCATTCTCCCCACATGTATAGTGTGATCGCGATTTTAATTCTGGACGCTGTTCTCTTTTCGTCAGGCAACCAAAATTTGCCGCAGTCTGACCAGGCCCTAACTCTGAGTTTCACGCACTAAACGATCATCAGAAAATTTGAATTTTTTTTACAAACTTAATTCGTTTTTGGAAAAATATTCTACTCAAAAGTGTAGATTCGACTTTTCTCTTCCGGCTCTATCAGGAAAACGTTGGTAGAATCCCGTAGAAGTTGGTAGAGCTACGGGATTTCAAGCAAGATCAAGGATTTGTACACAACTCCATACAGAGGAGAAACATTTCACGTACATATCGTGTAAACCACTAAATCCGGTAGAATAACGTTTGTGCACTTGCCTCTACAATCTACCTCTATTGGTAGAGTGACTCTCCTCTACTCTACCAGGTAGCTAAAAACAAACGCAGCATTAGGAACTGCTTACATTGCTATTGAAATGATTCCACAACATATTATTTTGTTATCACAATTTAAAAAAATCACACAAATTGAGTGTCAGCATACACACATGAGGCATGGGCAGCAAAAACCAGGGTTTGGTGATATTTGGCGAAAAGGAGTTTTGGATGGCTTTGAACTGTCCACTACATGATGGATCTATGGGCCAAATTTTGGAGCTCTGGGCACATTCCAAGATTGTAAAAGGAACTCCCGAAATGATGGGTGAAGGTCGACAAAAAATGTCGACAACAATTTTTATTTATTCAACATCTTATGGGTTCCGATGGCAGCCAAAACAGGAAGATGTGGGTGATAGCCAACCATGGTAAAGGAAGGAGAAGATTATATACATGAAAAGAAAACAGCCGAAAAGCTACACTGTATATTTAGCATATTTATAGGTCTTCAGGGAAGCACAGAGTACTCTAAATTTACAGTCTAACCAGGATGCTTCCACAGGGTAAACTGCCTAAACTGCGATTCTAGTCTGAGCCTCAAGAAGCAAAAGTGAAACAAAGCACACGATCCTAAAGACAAAACTATGTATTTTTTTCAAGGCACTGGTGACTCTTCATCGCTTTCTTCTTTCACCAGTGCAGTCAGTCTCTTCAAGAACAGTTTCTTCCCCAGGCCATCGGCATATTTCCCGTGCTTTCCTCGAAGATGATTTCAAATGGTGGAGGAACTTGAAAGAATACGTCGAAGGAGCATTTTTCGGCTGAGTTGCACAGCTATCAGAATTTTTAACAGCGTCCTCACTTCGTCCTGTCGCGATATCCATGGATTCTTCGAGAAAGAGTTTGTTTTTGAGAAAGTACGACTTGTACGTCCGAATTGTTTTAAAAAATGCTTCGAAAAGTCGAGGCTACAGCCTTGAGTTAGGAGCGGTTCAGGGTATAGTTTCCAGAAATCGCAAAGAACCCAAATTTACCTCGGATGACAAGCTGGGCATGACGTAATGTAGGAATTTCGCCGAGCGCTGGGACAATGCCCGTTGCACACTCTTGGGGGTTATGAACTCTTGTTGATATTAATAGTACCACTGTTGGCTGCACTTGCTGCTATGAACTGCTATGAACACTCAATCCCTGTCATGTGCAGGTCTGGTGTTGTATGCTAACTTGTCACACAGAAAGAAGCCAAGCAACTGACATTTTACATGGCTGGGAAGAATCTACAACTTACGCATGCTGGACCTAGCCAGATAAATCCACCAACCATGTCCTGCTCTCCTAGGCGCAACAGCTCGTTGATACTTGCATTATACTGCGACAAATTTCGTACGCCCGCAAGCGTGCATGTATACTTGTAACAATGTTGTTCACAGAATATCTTGTATCAAGTAAGGTTTAGTCTATTTAGGGCTGTCTCCGTAGCTCACCAACTTATCCAGCTGCGATTAGTCGCCACGGAGTACTGAATCTCGTCCGTCACTCTCAGCCCTGCCGTCCACTTCGTATCACGGAGCTCTCAAACTCATCGTCTGCGCTGCCTGTGCGGATGGCTTGTCATCTGAGCGAAACCTCTTCACTTTCACCTGATTCTTCTTGCGGGGGACTATAACAGCCAGCGGAGTATCTCTGGAGATCCAGCTGCCAAATATCTAGTCGCTAGTGCTCCATCAAGAATTTGTGACTGGATCGTTCCGCCAAGAAATTATCTGTTCCACTCTCTTTTGAGCGCATGATTTGCAGGCGCTACCCAGAGCGTAAAGGCCTCCATGGTGGCTGAAAACGCCTACCTGGACCTCCCAAGTGCGGGCGGAAAAATTACAACGGCGATGACAACAAAATTATAGTGAAGCCACTGGGGGTGAAAGATAGCACTAAGATCCCGAGTTTGAGTACTCTGATTTTCTCCGATCGAATATTCGAGTATTCGAGTATTTTTATCACCTAAAAATTGCACACCAAAGGGCCTTAAAATCACATAGTACAAGATCATACAACCCTGATTGAACCGAGTGGCAGTCATTGTTCTGGGGTATATTGGTTGGTGGATCATTTGGGCTCTCTCTCCTCATGTACAAATGTTCACCACACAGTCTGCACATCAATACCTGCCGACTGCTGCTCTGAAACTGCGGATTTCCGTGGTAAATGCATGTACCATGTATGAACAAGTACTCTGATTTATTCTGAGTACGATTATTGTGGAAAAAACCGAGTGAGTGCTCGAATAATCGGTATACTTGTTCACCCCTAGGAGCCATCAAGAGGAACGCACTTTCAAAGCAATAGCGCAAGAAGTCTTTCCGCTTTGATCGCGGTGACTAAAAAACGACATCGGTTCGGTTTTTCCCATATATTGGCATTTAAAAAAAAATCGCCAGGACCCCGGTTCTTGCTTCCGATGCCTCACATAACGATCCTTTCTGTAATAAGAGTTATACTGCTTGCATGCCTTTATTTCTATACATGTCCTCATATAATTTCCTCATATAATTTCCTTCATCTTTTCTGTGAAAAACGGACCTATGGGGCGGTGGGAAAGCAATCATACCTGTCCAATTGGTGAAGTAAAAATAAAAAAGTGAACAACAGCAACAATTAGTCGTCCTTGTTGCTACATTTATTAGAAGTGTGTAATGCAGAGCCGACGCATGTACTGCAGTACGCGATGCGTGCCAAGTGCAGGTTGGAAATGCGAACAATCCACGTTGTTGCACATCATACTGCACTTGACAGTCTTGATCGAATCTCCCTCCCCCCTTGCGGAGAATCCAGCTGGGAAGCGATGTGGGGGTGGGGGGTAAAGATCAACGATACTTCACGACATTCGCACACATCTTTTCCTACTCTACTTGGAATATTCCAACTATTTGTTTTATTTTGCAATTGCAGAAATACTATAGTACCGAAAAGTATCGCCAGAGCACTCCGTCTCGCGAGAGAAGTGTGAGCAACTTATTGTACTAAGGTCACACCAAGCAGGTTTTCGTGTGGAGTTCGTGTCCGCTCGAAGTTACGGATTGTCTGCACAACGTGCAATACGTGTACGAAGTTCATGTCGTATGACCTACAGACAGGAGACCACCTACACAATATGACCATGAAAGGATGAGACGGTGGGGCGCTCTGACGGTACTTTACGGTACTGATTTATATGTAGCTGCACAGTGATTCAAAAATGGAACCCGTAATCAAAGGATAAGCCTGCGCAAACACAGAGTTTACAGAGTGGGAGTCATTGTACCAGGTTTTGACATGGTTGATTTGCATTTCGTTTTTTTCTTCCCTATTTTCTTGTAGCCACCATTCCACCGACTACTCTAACCACCCTACCAACGACTACTAAAACCACCACACCGACGACTACTCCAACCACCCTACCAACGACTACTCCAACCACCCTACCAACGACTACTCCAACCACCCCGCCAACTATTGTGAATAGTAAGTATGTCTGGCTGGTTTTCTCATAGTTCCCCATACATGGAACGAAAGCAATTGTTGCAAACATTCCAAAGACATCTGTTTTCATGGTACTCACCACTCGACCACAAAACTTCTGACCAATTTGGTTTTCGTCCCTAATCGGGCTACCAGCAGTCTACCAGCAGTCTACCAGCAGTGTTTTGGGTTGATCTGTGTACATGCATGTGTGCGGTTACGTGTGTCTCCTGCATGTTTGTTTGTGGCTACGTGTGTCTCCTGCATGTTTGTTTGTGGCTGTGTGTGTCTCCTGCATGTTTGTTTGTGGCTGTGTGTGTCTCCTGCGTGTTTGTTTGTGGCTGTGTGTGTGTCTCCTGCATGTTTGTTTGTGGCTGTGTGTGTCTCCTGCATGTTTGTTTGTGGCTGTGTGTGTCTCCTGCGTGTTTGTTTGTGGCTGTGTGTGTCTCCTGCATGTTTGTTTGTGGCTGTGTGTGTCTCCTGCATGTTTGTTTGTGGCTGTGTGTGTCTCCTGCATGTTTGTTTGTGGCTGTGTGTGTCTCCTGCATGTTTGTTTGTGGCTGTGTGTGTCTCCTGCATGTTTGTTTGTGGCTGTGTGTGTCTCCTGCATGTTTGTTTGTTTGTACATACTTGATGTGCATCTTTCCATACACATAGATCCACATCCGTTTAACCGGAGCAAGTACTGTTCAGACACAAATACAACGCTTGAGTTCACTAATGGCTACAAACATAACTATACAACTGGTGTGGCCATCTGTAAAGCAATCGGTGGAACGCTACCCAGTGAGAATATGAATAGCAAATGCTTGACTGCCTGGACCAGGGAGCAGGTCATTGCTGCTGCTTGGCGTGCTCTTAAAATCATTAGATTCCATGGAACAACGTATTACGCAACTGACGAACGTGCCCATCAACCGGAAGAGCGTCTCGAAGTTGTCTGTGAAGTTTGTAAGTGCTCTTTGTCATCGGTTGTGATAGAAGGGTGAATGCAGTTGGATCCCACACCACAAGTTGTAGTGCTTAAGGAGGCTCCCTCCTTAAGCCCTCTACAGACTACGTACATAAAACATCCAGTACAAAATCACATAAAACCTAAGAGGCAACATTTTTTCCAAGCCTGCGTTCAGACTACACATTTTATATGCAATATGCAGGCAACCTGTGACACTACACATTGCACAAGGGGCCTGGGATGTGTGAAAGCAGCCGGCAGAGGTACCCGGGTACAAAGTTTTTACGACTGCCTGGTGAAAGTACGATAAATGCAGGAGAGTTGCCCTGTACAAGGGTTCGCACTCTGCCTGAAAGGATTGGGCAGCTTTTTAGGTTTCCCGCCAGATTCTTTTGTTGTCTTGGAAACTTCTATGTAAATGTGACTTGGCGAAGAGCTCCTTGTAGGTAATGCTTAGTTCCAGTTGCCGTTTTGTACCTAGTCTGAAGCGTGCCGGTAAAAGAAGTCAAAAACCTCCGAACAGTTGCACTTCTGCACAGGTTCGGAGAGGACATAATTATTATCACGTTTGCAGCCTACTCGTTGACAACTTTTTGTCTTCTTTTTCGGTAGTGGGCTTTTCAAGAATAACTTCTATAATCGACTCAAAAAGGTATGGTCATGAAACTTGGCAGGCACTTTTTCATCAATAGAGAGGTTCTGCTACACGGAATTTTCGTACGTCGCACCGGTTCTGCTGTACGTAGCATGCTCGAAGCATGCACGAACACCCCGCCACATGTACTCTGTACGCTCACTTTTTACACGGAGTCCAGTCCGTGTGAAGCGCGCTTCACACGGAAAACGGCATAAAAATCCGTATCAAACTAAATCCCGTACGCGGCGAAGTTTCCATACGTACTTTGGCACGTTTTACCGTGTGGCAGAACCTCACTATTCACAAGAACATCCTTACCAAATTAAAAGGAAATGCATAGCGCAATTTCTGTCTTCTTGGTGGCAGTAATACGTAAATTTACCCCAAAATCGACAAATTGAGAACAATTGACGAAGGCAGTATGCTTCGGGTAGCTGCAGGGAGCTATAACTTTGCAGACTCTTTCCATTACCATCTAACTGCAGAACCATCCATTGTTGTTTTCAAGAATGAGCTTTCGCAAACTCACTTGCAAACATAGTGCTTCGCTCTCCGGTATGCCCACGCCATGCACATCCCCCCCCCCCCCCCCCCCGTGTGCTCCCCAACGCAATCACGCTGCACAACTGTTACTCTCCACTAATTTCACTTTAGCTCATACATGTACCAGTACACCCTTCAAAGCGGTGACCCCTTGATAACGTAGGTGACAAGCCTCTGGGTCATCCTAATAAAGATATTATCATTAGTCTCTTAGTATACCTCTGGAAAATATCAATGAAATCTATTGGTCCATTATGTTTCACTATAATGTTTCAGTCCACCGCACACGTCAGCCAATATTGGATTCAGTAAACCGTGCTCCTAGGTGCTTCGCATTGATTCAATGTCAAATATCTAATGTTTAGCATCCAACAGATGTTCTGGCCGCCCGTTTTGGATCCATCAGTTGCCTGATTATTGTAGTAATACGTGAAATTCAGAGTTGTAACAAAGCTTCCCATCTCTCTCTTGTGTACAAGGCTCTGCCCTATATGGGTATTGAGCAGCAAACCACTTGACTACGTAATGTTTAGCATATGAACCACATAGTTGGCTGTACTTCTTGAGGGAAGGAAGAAAATCTGTCACGTCAGCTTCGGGAAGCACCCGTACTTACCCCCATGTAATGACCTTTTCTTTCATTGCCCTGGCTAGCTTCTTGCACGCCCATATTTGCCTTCCCTTCCCCAGGTCCTTTACCCTAATTCCGCGCATATAAGCCCATGGGCTTATGATATGTATGTGAAAATTGCAGTCTGGGGGTAATGTATCTAGTAAACATTTTTGAGCCCTGTGCCAGTATTCGCACTTTGAAAGTATTTTTGAGCCCTGTGCCAGTATTCGCACTTTGAAAGTATTTTTGAGCCCTGTGCCAGTATTAGCACTTTGAAAGTATTTTTGAGCCCTGTGCCAGTATTCGCACTTTGAAAGTATTTTTGAGCCCTGTGCCAGTATTCGCACTTTGAAAGTATTTTTGAGCCCTGTGCCAGTATTCGCACTTTGAAAGTATTTTTGAGCCCTGTGCCAGTATTCGCACTTTGAAAGTATTTTTGAGCCCTGTGCCAGTATTCGCACTTTGAAAGTATTTTTGAGCCCTGTGCCAGTATTCGCACTTTGAAAGTATTTTTGAGCCCTGTGCCAGTATTCGCACTTTGAAAGTATTTTTGAGCCCTGTGCCAGTATTCGCACTTTGAAAGTATTTTTGAGCCCTGTGCCAGTATTCGCACTTTGAAGGTACACGACGAAGTACCAGTATGTGGGCGTAGTGGGTCTGCTGCGCTGGTAACCTCCTCTGACCTGCTGTAGCATAATAGTCCTTTTCGTGAAAAGCGAGTTGTATTTCTGTCTGTTTATTAGCCCATGGGCTTATAAACGGAGGTGGTCTTTTATCCGAACACAGGCCCGTGGCTTTATATGCGTACAATTACGGTATCTTACCTTCTCTCTCTCTCTCTCTCTCTCTCTCTCTCTCTCTCTCTCTCTCATAATCCATTCGTTTTAGCTCATCTTTCTCTCCCCTTACTAGTACCAAGAGTACATAACCCCAAGAGTGTGCAACTCCAGCTATGGGGTCTGCGACGGCAGAACTTCACATCACGTGATAAACCCGTGCACTCTGTGCATGATAGATACTGGGCTGTACGCAGCCCAGCTTTGGGTACAACTCTCTTGTGGTCACTTTGCACTGTTTGCCAGCATAACCTTTTGAACCATGTCACGTGATGTGAAGTTCTGCCGTCGCAGCACAGCATAGAGGTTGTGCAGGCAGTTGCACGCTCTTGAATTTATATGTACTCTTCATACTACCTATGCCTAGTTGTTCCTTAGAGTCCCGGATGATGACTCCCTTTGTGATTTAATTAATGATGTCGCCTAATGTGGGGCTCAAACCCATGACCGTGAGATCATGCTCTACTGACCAAGCTAGCCAATGCATTGAAAGTTCAACACATCACTCTCTGATGATTATGTTTTTCTTTCTTTCTTTGTGTGTATTTCTCACCTTCGTTCAGCTCCTCTGAAGAGAATTTGTGGCGGAATCCAATACACACTGGTACAACAGGTTCCGGACTCGCAAACAAGCAGTGCTGCCTACTCTGAAGCTAAGCAGATATGTCAATCCAAAAATATGGAACTTCCCACGATAAGCGCAAACGACACACTTACAATTTGCCAAGAGGACATGATGATTGGATGGCACCTTAGGGAAGGGGTAACCTTTAACTTTTTCGTAGATCGCAATAATATGGTGATTAAGTCGAAATATGTCCACGATATTGTAAATCTCAGATCGGTACTGGAATTTAATGAGAAAAAGGTAGTCGTGAACACACCCTACTCAGATTTTGGAACGACGTTCACCATTTGTCAAGGTAAATACAGCTTTGGCCAGTGTTTCATTAGTGTTCTCCGTGTTTAGAAGGCCGGTTGAGGCAGCTCAAATCAGAGTGCTCAATGCACAAACGGGCCGAGCAGTTTACACATACAACAGAGGACGTGCATGTCAAATGCCGCTGTCTGATGATCGCTGAAACGCGTGAAACTTGAAGTTACAGATAGACAGCCTTTCCCCTCCGTTTTATGTGTACACGGTTTTGATGAACTTGAGAATTTATTCCTTGATTAGTGCTTATGTTGATTGTCAAAAACCTGGGTAGAAATCAGTTAGTCTGAATCACTCTCCTCTGTTTCAGAGTATGCAGCGCCTTGTGGTCAGGAATTATCCCTTTACTCAGACGAAAGAGTGACTGGAGATGATTCATTTGCAGCAAGTACCTCTGTTGAGATCGCTCTGGAGCTCACCAGCTAATCTCTTGGCTTCCCATGCCTGAATGCATTGAGCAGCTAGTAGGCCATACTTTGCAGCCTTGAAGTACCACCCCCAAAAAACCAAGTCGGTTGTCAGAGGCCGTGATTGTAAAATACATACAACCTCACAGGTGGAGTCCTCACACATGAAACCATCCAATACTAGCGAGGTTTCACACTACGTGAAGTTGAGCCACTTTATGTTAGTGGGCAGGACAAACCTGTGAATTTGGGAATTTGCTCTCCGCTTATGGAACGTTGTTTACCTATAGTACATAGACTGGGCTCTGATACCGTAGGTGGTCCGGATCTGGAATAGTGTAGACATGTATGACTCTCTCCCCAGATCGGCCTGGTCCTAGTAGAATACAGCCATGTTCTGAGGTGCCAATAGCAGCCACGAGATTCTAAAACTATGTATGGTGGCACACAGACCCACATGCAGCGTATGTAAGACTTTCCATAGATCGGCTACGTTTTCTACTAACGCAATTACGTTATGCAGGTAACAAAAAAGTCGGATTCTGACAAAGAAACATGTTGGACAAAGACATAGATGGATATTGACCATACGACCAGAATGACATGCTGCAACCTGTCAGCTCGTGATCTCAGCGATCCTAATGTATCCCAAGAATTGAAGAATTGTCGATGTCCAAGAAGGGACTTTGTATGTCAAAGCAACTTGATATACTATGTGAAGAAAGGAAAGGCAGCTATGAAAAACACCACGACTCAACCCCCAAAAATGTGTAGTTTCGAGCGATTGAGGAAATACCAAATTTAAGGCTGCACACTTCGCCCGTGTGCCACTAAACTGCACTGGGTTTTCAATGGCCACGTATGTGGCGACCCACTCAAGTTTAGTCTGGGCTCTGATACCGTAGGTGGTCCGGATCTGGAATAGTGTAGACATGTATGAGTCTCTCTCCAGATCGGCCTGGTCCTAGGAGAATACAGTCATGTTCCGAGGTGCCAATAGCAGCCACGAGATTCTAAAACTATGTATGGTGGCACACAGACCCACATGCAGTGTATGTAAGACTTTCCATAGATCGGCTACGTTTTCTACTAACGCAATTACTTTATGCAGGTAACAAAATAGTCGGATTCTGACAAAGAAACATATTGGACAAAGACATACCGTATTTTACCGGTTGTAAGTCGACCCCGGTTATAAGTCGACCCCCTATCTGGAGGTCTCAATTCTACGTTTTAAAGTTTTCACCCAAAGAAGCACTACTAACCACCTCCTGCTACTAACACATCAACAAATCATGTAAACATTTCTCATTGGAGGATATAACGTCCCAATCCTTGAAAAAGGTCAATAAACTAGCAAAAATGTGTAAACATGGTGCACTCATGCATGCAGTGCAGGTCATTTTGTGTAAGATACTGATAGTTCCCGGTTATAAGTCGAATCCCGGTTGTAAGTCGACCCCCACCCTTTCTCCTTCTATTTTAAGTCGTGAAAGGTCGACTTACAACCGGAAAAATACGGTAGATGGATAATGAGCATACGACCAGAATGACATGCTACAACCTGTCAGCTCGTGATCTCAGCGATCCTAATGTATCCCAAGAATTGAAGAATTGTCGATGTCCAAGAAGGGACTTTGTATGTCAAAGCAACTTGATATACTATGTGAAGAAAGGAAAGGCAGCTATGAAAAACACCACGACTCAACCCCCAAAAATGTGGAGTTTCGAGCGATTGAGGAAATACCAAATTTAAGACTGCACACTTCGCCCGTGTGCCACTAAACTGCACTGGGTTTTCAATGGCCACGTATGTGGCGACCCACTCAAGTTCAGTCATATCGCAAAGAACTTGACCAAGCTTGGCTCAATACCTTTCCATCCATACACTTCTAATGAAAATCGGCCACTGTTAACGTGAGCAATGGCAGTTTGTAAACTGATCTATGAACTTCGTGCTATTGCATGTGGAGTGGAGCAAAATATCTCGCAATCCGCCATCTAGGCACACTTTCCAGTAGAACACAACAGCAACAACATCATTATCTCCAAAAGGGGATAAGTAACGAAAGAAGTGTTGAAAACAAAATAAACTTAGCCACAGAGAGAGAGACAGGCAGAGAGATGGAGAGCCAAAGGCTAGAAAAGAAAGAGACACCGAGAGACGGAGAAAAGAGAATGAGACAGAGATGGAGACAGAGAGGCAGAGAGATCCCCGGTGGCCTCTTAGTCTTACATGGCCAGCGATGCCTTTAAAAACCGTGACGCTTGCCATATTTGAAATACTTTGCAAGGAAAAAACCCACAGTTGCGTACATATGAAAATCGTCCCGGCCGGCGGCTTTGGTGTTCATTCTGAAGACGTGTGACTTTATATGGAAGTTGAATTTCTGTGTGTTCTGCAGTTTTGAGTCTATTGACCAAGTTGTTTTGCCATTTGCTCATTCTTCTTTCTTGTAGGGGCTGCTCCAAAACCATCAGCCACTATTTCAACCACCGCATCAACCACAGCTCCAACCACCCCTGCAACGACCACTCCATCCACCCCACCAACAACTACTCCAACTACCCCACCAACAACCACTCCAACCACCACACCCACCACTACTCCAACCACCACACCAACAACCACTCCAACCACCACACCAACAACCACTCCAACCACCACACCAACAACCACTCCAACCAGCACACCAACAACCACTCCAACCACCACACCGACGACCACTCCAACGACCATACCAACGACTACTCCAACCACCACACCAACAACCACTCCAACCACCACACCAACGACTACTCCAACCACCCTACCAACAACTACTCCAACCACCACACCAACGACTACTCCAACCACCACACCAACGACCACTCCAACCACCCTCCCAACAACTACTCCAACCGACCCGCCAACAACTACTCCAGCCGACCCGCCAACAACTACTCCGGCCACCAAGCCACCAGCTATTCCAAGCACCGCACAGGACAGACATGACCAGAAAACCACCACTGCAATCAATACCACTGTTACAAACGACAACGGCACCTCACCGCTGTTTGAGCTAGGCGCAAGTCCCACTAAAGCCGCTCTACTTCACAACGTAGCCGGTAAGTGTGAATGAAAGTAACACACTGCATCCCTGGGATATACAGATGCGCTCCCTGAACTGTCCTCTCCGAAAGGCATGATTCAGCGGCCGCGCCAAGTTTAGCAGGAAATCGCGCAATCTACACTTTTGTCCGAGAAATCTGAATGTTCCAAAGTAAATTATTGTAAAATTACTATTGTAAATCATGAATATGTGAGGAACAAGTAAATCTAACGAGTTAACGAGCAAAGAGTTGTCGTTTTTAACCCTTTAAGAGCCGCCCCCTACTTGAATGCGTCGTAAACGACGCATTCAAATGCAAAACTTCAAAAGATCGTAACTCAGTCAAAAAACAAACAAATACCGATCGGCCATGTTTAACGACGGCCAAAAGTATTGTTTCGAAATCGGCCAAAGTTTCTCACCGGACAAAATTTGTTGACTTACAGTAATATTGCATCTGTCTGAGAAAATCGTTAACTTTTCAAACTGTTAACCTTCGAAAATCAGAAAATCGTTAACTTTGCGGGTCGTTAAAATAATAGGATTTACAGTACTCGGAAAGCTACTTTGCGACCTCTTTGAGCCCCGGGCTCTTGCAAGTGTGCGTGAGTGCAAGTCTCTCCAAGGTTTTTCAGTCCCATTCAGTTTGTGACGGCAAAGGATCTTGTGAAGGGTCGTTAAAATAATAGGATTTACAGTACTCGGAAAGCTACTTTGCGACCTCTTTGAGCCCCGGGCTCTTGCAAGTGTGCGTGAGTGCAAGTCTCTCCAAGGTTTTTCAGTCCCATTCAGTTTGTGACGGCAAAGGATCTTGTGAAAAGCACTCCTTGATGAAACAAGTTGTCATGCAGAAAGGGGCGGGTATTTTTGAATTTTAATGCCGCGGAATAATCTCCCTTTCCCCACATAATTGCACTTCCTTTCCGCACAGAATTGCACTTCCTTTCCCCAGGAGACTCCCTTTGATAGGCATCCATTTGCCTCTGGAGAAACCTTGAAAATCTATAGCATTCTCGTCCACATTAATTTTTGTCAAAGGGACCGGCTGAAGTGCGACCTGAAGTGCGGAGACTCCCTCGATTTAGGCTAAGGCCTGTGGAGAATCCATAAATACAAATACGAAGTGCTAAACTGGTGGTCTGGGTCAGTTACAACTAAAACTACTACTCTACTTGTAAATGTGTACGTCCCGCAGTATTCATACATGTACAGTCAGACATCGCTTAACCAGTCCTCTTTTATCCGGATCCCTCGCCATCCGGAAGAAAGTCGTTGGTTACCGATTTACAGCATATGCCATGCATACATAAAGTATGTGTGTTCGATTATCCGGTTCCCTCGCCTATCCGGATGTTTTTGTGGAAAACGGATGTGTGCGGTTATGCGAGGTCTGACTGTACCACTTAACAGGGCGTCGGTACGCTGAATGCGCACTTCGGACCGGCACAATTGTTGTCATAAACCACTACACCACTTCACTACACCTGCTTAGCCGTCGCAATACAATTTCACTTGGTGTATTTGCAAGCTATTTGAGGTGGACATTGACTGATCTGCCGGGGGATTAGGTAAAATGTGATCGATCGCTTGATATGGTCTCACCAAGAGTCCACAATCCCCCCCAGAGTGCGCAACTGGGATGGGGTTGTGGGACGGTGTAATCCAGTGGAACCTGTCTAAAAGGACCGCTCCAGGGACCTTCAAAACGAGGTCTCTGTTACCAGGTAGTCTCCTCATCCAGTGTCATTTGACTGGAAATAGCATCTTTTGGTGCTGGTTTCAGTGGTCTTCAAGGACATGTGGTCGCCTTCTCTGAGTGGTCGCCTTGACCGGTTTTACCAAGAGTCCATAACCCCAAGAGTGTGCAACGCCACATGAATGTCTGTCACGACTCGTTTGCAACATTACGTCATTTTCATGTAGCTGCGGGTGCAGGCCGCCACATTCGCTATATGACAATGTACATGAAAATGACGTAATGTTGAAAACGAGATCCTAGCGCGCGTTGCACACTCTGGACGTTATGGCCTCTTGGTTTAATGTACGTCATTTTTGGGTTGGACTTGCGTCATTAGACACCCTTAGCAAAAAACGTTATGTTGTAACGGTATTATCGTGAGGGGGAAAATACCGTGATTTGGGTTCGACCTTTAGCAATATGCACGCTATTTTTAGTACGCTGCTGCCACGAGAATAGCTTTGATTTCGCGCGGTACAACCATTTTTGTCACCATATACGTGATACAAGGTGAAATGCGTACGGACTATGCAATATTTGGCCAAAACAAGTACCGTTCGTCACAACGATAAATCAGCCCCCATAACGTTTACTGTAAGACATGTATATATAACGAGGAAGCAAATCTAACGTTTTAACGGATGACATTTCTTCGTTATAATAATAGATCTGTTGAGGCCGTACTGCTTCATATATGTTGTGTGTGGATATGGCAGAATACTGCAAGATCGTTAACATATCTTCTCGTTAACCTATGAATTTTGGACAATCGTTAAATTTGCGACTCGTTATAATATTATGTCTTACAGTATACGCTGCAGCTTCAACGCTATTTGGGTGATCAAGGTACGAGTACCGTAAAAAATAGCGTTACCGTCGTTTGCTAAGGGTGTCTAATCTGTCGACGAGACCGAGACCCACATACACTTCCCCTACTCATGATGACACGCTATTCGGTGCAACACCGTCCCAGATCTGATCAGTGAAGTTGCGCACTCTGGTGGCTTATGGACTCTTGGGTTCACCCGTATTGTTGAGTTTCATCCTGTGTGTGTGTGTGTGTGTGTGTGGACATGTGTGTTTGTGTGTATTTGCTTGTGTGTTTGCTTGTGTGTGTTTGTGTGTGTATGCGTATATTCGTGTTTATGCATGTATGTGTGTACTTGTGTACGTGTGCGGGTGTGTATGTGCGTTTGTGAAATCGCGGTTGTTTGGGTCGTGTGCGTGCATGGTCTTCACAGGCCCGTCTAGCTCTAGCCCCACCAGCACCTACAGCAGCTACCTGTGGCTGATCGCCGTGTTCGCCGGCTGCATTCTCATCGGTCTCGCTGTCGCCATTCTTCTGGTGGCCCGGCGCAACCACGCTGTGGTAGCACCACGACGGTAAGCGGACTCTAGGGTGACGTGCTTGCTGCCGAGGAAATCAAAACACATCAGACCAGTGTTTATTTATGTATTCATTTACAAAACATCCCCGACATGTCAGAGTGCGTGGTGAAATCATTGCTTCACACGAAAAGCAAGCCACAGTCTAGACCAAATCATTGTCTCGATGTGTTCCGATGTGGGTCCATGCACTGGATTGGGCAAGTTGCAACATGTTTAGAATGCCTGACAGATGTCAGATCGTGGCGTATGGCAGTCTATGTAGTACACATGGAAATGTTTCACCGACGTCCGAATTTGGTTACAAACACAAATTCGGGTGCGGCTTCTTCTCCAGTGCTTTTTCTAGTATGGAGAACACACCACGTTATAATTGTGCGCTTTGCACAATCTACATCTACGTGCACTGTGTTTCTTGTTTGCGCAGATTGTTCAGCGCGAAATCCAGCGGCCCACCGCCGTCAACGGTGCGCAGCGAGGGCCTAGCTGACGATGCATCTCTCCTCTACACCGGCGTCCACAGAGACTCGTACACCGAGGACCAGTATAGCCAGCCAAGCACTGGGAATGGACCCGACGCCTGGAATCAACGTCCCCCTGCTGATCGGCCGTACGCTGTCACGTACAAGAAAGATCGCATAATCAGCGTCGACTCTTCTTCGCAACCGCTCATGGATGCAGACGACAATTCGAACATCGCATTCGTTGGATCTTCTTCGGCCGGCCAAAACGGCAGCACCTGCAGTCTCCACACCATACCAGTCGGCGATGAGGCCTCGCTCACACATAACTCGGCACGACGACCATGCCCCACACCGCCGTCCATGTTGGACGGAAATGCAGACACTAGCCGGTACGTATGTACCAGTCCGAGCAAGAGCAGTGCCATCTACTCTACAATGGGAAAGCAACGCTCCAATTCACGGCTGGCTGCTGAAGAAACGAGTAATTGCGAAGTCGGTTCGGCCGGATACATTGCTAGTTGCCAGGGGGACAATTTCGAACACGTCCACATCTACGACACGCAGTACGCGGCAAACGACGTGTTGAGAGAGAGCTGCCAGTCTGCTAATGGAGGCATGTTGGACAACGGTAATAAGTCTTGTCCGGACAGTCTGGCAGTGAGAGTGCCCGGACGGGCCGCCTCCGTGGATATGAGTGCCCACTCGTCTACAAGCTGCCTGGATAACAATCTAAACGAACTCAGTGACATGCTCGATAACGACCGGCTTGTCCACGATGACCAGTATGCGGATCCCAGCAATCAAATGATGTGTGAGGATACGTACAATGGGACATACTGCTGTCCGTCCCAGGAGAAGTCCGGTCAGGCAAGCTTAATGATCTCCAACCCGTACGCCCTCAGCCCTCATTCTTTCCGCCGCAGCACCGCTCAAGCGGCAGCGAGCGAGGCTGCCTATACCTCCGGCAATGCGACCGAGGAGGAGCATGAATTGCACCCGGACGAATCCGTCTCCGGCATGGCGTGGCAGAACTTGGCCTCGGAGTGCGGCGACGATGACGAGCCGACTTTCCCAGGTCATAGTAACGTGAACGCGTCAGGCAACATAAACACGCAGGCGGCCACTGGAGCGCCCGTGTCGTCGGGCACTCATCCCGTCACCCTCCTGAGCAACATGGCCAAGAAGCTGTGGTCGCGTCGCCCGTCCCGAACCAACCAGGACCCGCAGGCAAGCAACCTGCACGACACGATCGACAGCACCGTCACCGACGGTGGTGCCTGGGACGTCCTGAGAGACCAGACCATAGGAAGCAGACCGGGATCCGGAGCTGCGCCTAACACCCAAGATGGCGGCCAAGAACTGTACGCGATCCTGGACTCGGCGATCTCTAACGATGCGGACCAACACACCAGACCGGGTGTTCAGACCTCGACCTCCGATCACTACGGAGTGATTGCACAAGAACACGAAGGACGTCAAGAACGCCTGAACACTGGCATGGCAGGTAGGGCCAGCTCTGCACTTGCTGGCGTCACCGGCCGCGCCGAGAAAGACGATGACTACGATTCGACAAGGTTGGGAGAGGACGATTATGACACTGTTTCTCACTGCGCGTCCACATGTGGCTCACCAAAGTCCGACGACCAGGTTCTGGCGAACTCCAATGACGACGGTGCAGTCCTGGTTGTACACAAGACACTAAGCGGCTATGAAAAGGTCGAGAAAAGCGCCGCAGTCAACGATGGTCAAGAGGATTCCGCCGACACCTACGTAATGTCACCAACGTCGAATGTCAATGCCGGCATTGTCATGGTAAATAACGAGAACGCCAAGGAGTCTCCTTACACGGCCTTCGCCAGGGGTTCCACTTCAACCATGCTGCCGGAATCACCCTACGCCGAAACTATACCGGACTCTGCGGCAGACTGCAATGTCTTTTCAGAGCCGATGGCCACGGACTGCAGCACTGACGATCACTGTGCCGAAGAGGAGGGGATCTATAGTTCAGCAGATGCACACCTGGCGTCCAAAACTCAGTCAAGCCGTGAAAAGGCGGTGACTCTGCGGCAACAGCAGCAGCAGGGAGTGGAGCAGCAGCCTGCATCCTCTCAAGCCGCACCCCAGCACACGGCCAAGAGCAGTGCCGCCGCTGACACCGACACCAGTGATTACATCTACGTCGGATTCAACTCCGCCGCGGCACCCGCACAGAAGCTCGGGACGGCGGCCCTCTGCAAAACCAGCGAGGTCGAGTCTGAACGCCGCCAGGGCCAGACCCGCATCAAGCAGTAAAGCATGGCTATCGATAGCACTAGATCATAATGCACTTTCACCCCTTGCCCTTGCTAAATTGGAACTATTGTTCAAGTCCACAATTGCACCATGTCTAATCAACTTCTATCCTTGCTACACTGCCAACGTTAGAAAGAGGACAGATTTCAGGTCGTTTCACAGGAACAATTTCAAAGTTATGCGCAAGTATGCTTTCTGAACTACTATACCCATTCCCATCTGACATTGTCGTGTATGGTCAACTGCATGATCTGTGTACAACACGCATGTACCCATCTTCATACACAAACACACTACAGACTGAGTATTCACGCATGCACACAAGTGCACGCACGCACCTGCACACACACGGACGTTCAGACACGTGCATACGCACACACTCACACACACTCACTTGCACACACTTGCACGCACAAACCCTTTCTAAACCGCTCTCTTTCAAGCACTTCTCTCATTGCGTTTGCAATTGCCCAGTAACGGTGCAATGGCCGTCTGCCTTGAGTCGATGATGTGTTGCTCCACAGCATAGCTTTGCAGTGTGTGGCGCGGTTTTTCAGCTCCTTTTGTAATACAGGTGTGATTGTGACCTTGTCATGCATAACCACCCCTACAATATGGTTCAGGTGATATCACCTTGTCCAACACCCACAGCTCCTACCCTGTTAAACACTTTCGCCCAATAACTGCAACTTTTGTTGTTACGCTTACGGAAAATAAGTTTCTTGTTTTTATTCACACTGTCGGTTTCTTTGTCGCTCTCTCTCTTCACGTAAATAAACATCTTTCTCTTCTTCACGCATGGTGTCCTTTTGCGGTCGCGTGCCAGTTACAGGTCGTCCCCCGTTAATACGAGTCTGGTTAGTACATAAACCCCGTTAGTACATAAGAAATCTCAAGTCTCGGACGAAACGTGGTCACTTCCATACAAATCGTGTCGGTTAGTACATAATTCGCTAGTACATAAACCCCGTGTAGGACATAACATTTCTCCGTACCCGCATGCCACCTACCTCAATAGTACATAATTTGTTGGTTATTTGGGCTTCCAGTGGAGGCACACCGTGTTTTAGTTTCTACTGGTGGACGCAATTAGCTCAGAAACCAGAGCGCAGATCACAAACTGACAAAGCTCTGTTTTTCCCCGAGTGACTGTTCAGGTGCGACTGGGCAGGTATCATGTAAAATTTCTGGTCTTAAGGTGGCTCACGCCTATTTCAAAAAAATTAACGATTGCTCTGAAAATTTGGTGGGCGGTTGCTCTTAGGTAGTGTATGCAAATGGCGAGTTAAAAAAACGGGGTCTCAATGCTAACTTTTGAGATATAGGCGATGACAATTTCACTAAATTGTCAAATTTGTACAGGATTTGTGATGTATAGCGGACGGGTATTTCATCAAGAACCTGATTTACAATCTTCCTCATTTTTTGGTTATTGAATGGACTAACTGTGTACATGCCAATGAGAAAATAAAAAACATATGCTTCAATGCTCAATTTCGCCATATAGGCGCAGAATGCCTTTTTGATAAGTTAGCTTTGCTACATGTACATGCACACCTACATATCCCATGTACATGTCCATATACATCTACTATTCTCTACTAGCCCACCCCAACCCTGCAATACACATTGACACAAGTGTACACAAACATACCACACACATACCACACACAAACACACACACGCATACATGCAAACACACACACGCATACATGCAAACACACACACACACACACACACACACACACCTGTCCTGTCGAGCCACTACCACTAGGGTCACGTGGGCCCGGAGGGGCAGCAGAGAGTGAGAAAGAGCACGCCACCCGGTGGCGCTCCAGACACACACACACACACACACACACACACACACACACACACACACACACACACACACACACACACACACACACACACACACACACACACACACACACTACTACTACTGCTACTGTAGCATGGTTGCCCAAGGGCCACACCATTCCGAAAGAAGCCGGAGTCATTATCAGGAGCAGAAACGGAGATGACGACTCAGGTCACTCTGTCGACGGAACTGACGGCTGCAGCGAGAACAGCGGACACAATATGATGCTCTGTCAGACTTGGTTGCCCGATGGCCACGGTCGCACATGTGACGTCTGAAACCAGGCACTGACTTGAATTGCCGATTGCATGTCAAACACAAGAGAGAAGCATGGACGCTGAGCGGAATAGATGATGGCGGCGCGGACACTTTCGATGGTTCCAGGGGCAAACAATGATGCACACGCAGGCCACCACGAGAGTGAAACCACCTTCTGCATGTAGCACACTGCACAGCACCACGCTGATCCTGGATGGGGAGACTTTGCTCTGCGCCACATTTGTGCCTTGTTTGTCACCTGGCTGGCGAAACGACTGATGGCAGATAAGACAGTCCACCCGCCAGGCAGACCTATCCTGAGCAACCTCATACCAGGCCAGACAGACAGACACACACACACCCACCACCACACACACGCACAAACGTGCGTGTAAACAGTGACTAAACACACACACACACACAAGGCACACACAGGATCGCACGCCTGCAGACCATCGCTCCAATGAAGATAAGATTACTACTTCTTTGTGTAAATATGTTTGAGATAGAGTGTCACTCTTAGATGTGACTGACGCCATCAACCAATGTCAAGGAAAAAAATTCACGGTTCGCGTCAGACTCGGCTACAGGCCGAATTTTCCGCATCTGTATGAACGCCATCATCCTTCAAGGATCAAGGCGCAGATGCAAGGAAAGAATGTGTTCAATCTTCTTCTGCACACGTAGAAATAGGTTTGGGCATTTTCGATGATTTAGAATGTACGTCGCGTGAATATGACAATGTGACAGAGGCAGCCACAATTTACTGATTACTGTGCATTGATCTAGCTATATACACTGCAAGTGCACTGTAAATATTGTGTTACATGCACGTAGTTGTGAAGGGAGACAGTATATATGTACATTCACCAATGACACACCTGTCAGACAGCAGGTTAGGGCTAGTCAAAGTTATGAAGGCACAATATACGATACGAAGGCATAATTTTGCGATGTACTTGAGTTTGTGAATATATAGTGGACTTTGTGTTCACACATACTCTACCAAATTGCCATGCACACCGTTGTAACACACACACACACACACACACACACACACACACTTGAGCCTGGGGAGCATGATTGCTGTCAGCCAGTGTTGCTTTCAAATGCTTATTCTCGTCAGGAGTGATGTAAATCAATCTCTAAAAAATGCATCCTAAATAAAACGCTCAAGCACTGAGTCTAGTCAGAGTGATAAGACAATAAATTGAAGGAATTTCTCAACAAAAACTCAGTGTACCGCTGTGATAAAGCCGTGGCAATAACTATAGTAGAGTTCTTCGTGGACAGCGATTACCATAAAGAAATGGTGAGATACTACAGTAGTACCCTCTACTGACACAAGGCAACCACGCTGTCCAGTACATGTTCGAATCAAAAATACTTTCGTACATTCGTGACCATTTCAATATATTCAAGGGCGACCTCCACAATCCACTGGCTTCAGAGTCGATTGATCATTATAGAACGGCCATTCTTGACAAAATAGTCAGACAAATTTTGCGAAGGATGGCGTTCTACTGTGGAATGGACTCGCCAAGTCACTTGAACCAATTCAACGAAAATTCAAAATACTCAGGTTTTACATATTCACGTACCCGTCTGTGCCGTCCCCCATTCCTTCCAAGACATCCACATAGACTCCAACGCTTTGATTCTACTCTTTTTCCGAAGCCGACCATGGGCATGGGCAGTGCCTGCTGGAAGGGACATCCCAACACTTCTCTGACAGGTGACAATTTCCACAAGTAAAAAATGCACCTCAAAAATGTAGCCAAGTGAATAGAAGGAGTGACAAAAAAAGAAGAAAACAGCTCACACTCTAGACTCGAGTACGAGAGTTTCTTGGTAAAACTGGAGTTTGGGTACTTGTGTATCTACTGAAAAAGGATGAGCTACTTCTGGACAGCCGGGCATCGGCTGGCCTGTCAAACTGCACGGATAAGCCCTGTGACCATTGATTTGACTGTCTCGGCCAGCACTCTATGTGGTACGGTATCTGTGCACCGTATATACGCGTATGTGCCGGATACGGTGTGGATATGGAGATTCCATACATGTACGCCGGAGCCATCTGGCTGGATTTAACGGCCGTTATTTTCGCCTGGTTTACTCTGAATTTTGGCATTTTATATGATTTTTTTCGGATTTATTTCCAAATTTGAATGTGAATTTCATGTTTATAAAGTCGTGTTCGCTCATTATCCACATGTCCTTTGCGTCTCTGTGTTTTTCACTGTTTTTATTTGACATTATCTTTTTTTACGGAGTTGTTGTTGCTGTTCATTTTGCTACTCTTTCTTTGGGTGTGCTGGTGCATGAGTTCCCACGGGAATGGATGGACATCCTTTTTGTCAAATATCCGGCGATTGGCCGCGGGAAGTTAGTTGGGAATTCCGGCCGTCGCGGGAAGAGCATGATCTTTGCTTTTAATAGATTTGGGGTTACTTTGAGATTGATGAAGAATGGTAAAACCAAGTCACAAAGTCTTTTCTTCGCTTGTTCTCCTGAGCAATCTAAAACTTAGTGCAACTAAAAGCAAGAATCATTGTAATCGAAAGAAGAATAGAAAATACTTCAAAATAGCCCAAGTACTTAGTTTACAGTGTACTTCAAAATACTCGCTACCTTTCCTAGGGAAAACAGCCTGAATCATGACTTGTAGGCAAAGTTTGCCGGTAATTCTCTAAGCAAAATATCGGGAATTTTTACAGAAAAAAATCCATCAATTTTGAAGTAAAGTTTTGAAAATATCACGAAACCTGGAAGATCTACCGAAATCTATCTAACCGAAAAAATCATATAAAATGCCAAAAATTCAAAGCAAACCTGGCGAAAACAATGACCGTTAAAACCAGCCAGATGGCTAACATGTAATCTCCATATCCACACCGTATCCGGCACATACGGTGCACAGATACCGTACCATAATTTATTATAGTGCTGGCCGAGACAGTCAAATCAATGGTCACAGGGCTTATCCGTGCAGTTTGACAGGCCAGCCGATGCCGGGCTGTCCAGAAGTAGCTCATCCTTTTTCAGTAGATACATAAGTACCTGAACTCCAGTTTTACCGAGTAAAACTCCAGTTTTTAAAACTGGAGTTTGGGTACTTGTGTATCTACTGAAAAAGGATGAGCTACTTCTGGACAGCCGGGCATCGGCTGGCCTGTCAAACTGCACGGATAAGCCCTGTGAGCCCGTACTCAGGCCATCTGCTCGAGCTGGACCCTTCGAAACTGGAGTGCGCTACAAGCTCGCTAAGCCAACTCCGCATGCACTTTTCTCGAACGTAGGATGCGCGAGAACCTGCGCAGAAGACGAGTTTAGAAATAGGCGCGAGCCACCTTAAGCGGGATTCACAGAAGCTTTTTTGCGATGAGACACGCGATGCGCCGCGATCTGCGACGGACGCGTGCGATGCGAACTCGCGAAATACCATTCACTGAAGCAGTCAGTGATGCGACAACATCTTACTGATTTGGCTACGTCATCATGATATTCGCGCGGTTTGATACAACTTGTACAAATTTATGGGCAACTCTTGAACCTTTGTACAACTTTGCTGTAGAAAAGGTCAAAATCGTACGCCAAATCGCTTGTCGCATCGCATCGCAAAAGTTGAGCCAAGCTCAACTTCTGCGATGGCCCAGTTGCGGCAGTTGCGTGGGGT